TTCCTAGATTTCGGACACTAGAAAAGGCGAGGTACCATTTTGATAATTCATCCTTTAAAATTCAGTCATAATCTGGTTTTAACGAAGTTGCATGTGTACTCTTTGAAGCAACATACATGTGACTTGTCGCGTAAGGAAGACGTGAATAAAAAGGACGTACAGAAGGAGAGTAGGGAAACCGATGGCGGAGAATGCACGAATGCTGCCCCTCTCAAGGAGACTCCTATTGAGGCCAAACCGGTGGACCATATAATCATTGATTCGCAGCACTTAGAGTCATCCATGGACGATGAGGTATTTACTATCAAGCTTCAACTTTTTAACATAATACTTCCTCTTTTAACATAATTTATCCAGAACCAAGATGTAGAGGATTTCCCGGACTCTAATGTGGAAGGAACGAGAGAAGTTAAATCCCAGACTACTGAGCATACATTCGGGACTTCGCATCTGGAGTCTGATGAGGTACGTGTGCTCTCGTAGCCAATTGAACACCCTAAACTGCGGCGATGGTCGCAGAAGAGGAAGCTGTCATGGAAGCTTCGGGGCTCGTTCCGTGTCATGGCAGATGGAAAGTGAAAGAAGGTAAGTCGGTACGACCCACTAGTCCATGTTCTCCCTGGACAAGTCCAGAAGTTTCATGCATTGATGGCCAACCCGAAGACTGACTGTTTCACTCGAAAATCATGTTATGGCGATTAAGAAAAGACATGGTTTCGTGACCTTATCACCTCAGATAAATGGTTGACGAGTGAGGTACGGGGTCAAAACCCTAAATATGTGTTTACACTGAGTTTTTTTTTCCATGATAACAACAACTTATATAAGTGATTGATTCATTGGTGATGTTCACGCGGAACAAACTCGAGCAATGATTGGACTTGTGTTTTCGAAAGTTCACCACCGGCGACATAGTCCTTGCGGTATGTAATATATAGTTCTTATATGCTGCCCGTATGTACAAATTCATGTGCTAACCTATCTTAGAATCACCCACAACAAAACTTCTTTCGACCAACCGACGGACTATACCAACACCTGGTGGCCTCAAATGTAGTATCAACAAGAGTTGCAGTGGAATACGATTGGACTGACAAATGTAAAACCATCATGAGCTACATAGATGGAACGCACACCGACTACTAGAAACTGTGGCTTGATTTGAACAATGTTTACCTGCCATATAGCATCGGTGGTAACCGTTGGATTATGCTTAGCATCGATCTGGAGGAGAGTGAGATCATCATGTGGGATTCCATGAAGCCGATGAGCGTTATCCTACCGACATTGATGCACAGGGCCGGTGTGCAGATACTGAGGCTGACATTACCGAATCTACCATGGCGCGTTCGTCATAACGTCGGCGCTGCAGTCGAGCGTGTCTGGTGCTTGTAGGACTTTCTTCATTAAAGTCTTCGAATATGATGTAACGGGGTCAGATATGCCCATCTTAACTCAAGACAACATTAGTTTCTTTAGGGAGAAATTAGCTGTAAAAATGTGGGCAAACATATCAGTATTTTGACTCAAATTGTCTTCTTATACAAGTAAATTGATTCCACTATGACCCCATTTTTTCAAACTAAATAAATTGTTTCGTAGAAGACTACTATGATGAATTTGCAAACAATTACATAAAACGAACCAATTGTGCAAACCAATACATAACACGAACTATGTATATTTCGGTCGAGAGTTACACGTTCATGGCCGATAACGACATACGTCTGCTTACTTGGAGGAAAGATTTCCCCAAAAAACGGTTAAGTATGAAAAAAATTCGAGCAAAATCAGGCTATTCTCGCCTAAAAAATATTCAAGCGAGTGCATTTGTGTTCACTGAAATATTTCACGTGCGAGAATAACACGATTTCGCCTGAAAAATATTCCAACGAGTGCATCTATGTTCACTGGAATATTTCATGGGCGAGAATAACAAGATTTGGCCAGAAAAAAAAATACTATTTTTGCGCAAAATCGGTTACGTAAGAAAAAATACTGCTAATTTCGAAATATGCAACATATGCAATATACAAAAAATATAATACACTAAATATATGGCGATTTGTTTGCCATTTTATTACACAAAAAAGAAATCACTAGACATAAATACGAAATACATGGAACTAAGACTCGATGATTCGTAATGGTTGGCGGCAAGTTTTCCTATTATGCCCCTGGATTCCACACGTGCTGCATTTATGAATCTGTTGAGGCTCACCGACTGAAGGTATCCATACAGTTTGTTGTTGTTCAACTCTCGGAACAAACTACGGAGGCTCAATGGTCACCTCAACAAAGTCGTCGGGTAAAGACCAGTCCTCCTCATCACCCAATGAATAGATTGGTTCGGCATACGCATTACTAAGCGTTTCTAATTTATACTTGGGTGAACACAACATGTACATACTGACATTACGATGCATGACGGCAGCAACATCGTGGGAGCACGACATCTAGTAGTAGTCAAACTGTTTACACGTTCAAGTCTTACTATTTAGGTTCACACGCACTTTACTACAGCCATCATGTACCTCGTAGTCGTAATTATCAATCGGTCTAATTGTATGTCTTGAAAGGATAGAATCCCAAATGGAAGTGGTTTATCGTTTATGATTCAACTCGAATTAGAAATTAAACGTTGCCGGTTTTCTAAAAAACAGAACATTTTTATTAAAAAATAGGTTAAGCCTCTTGGGAGGAAGAAAACAACTTACATTTGAAGACGTTGGCAACCTTTCTTCCTCGAGCACGAAGTTTGTTTCGGCACGAACAAACGAACCTAAAAGCACGTATCAGAACGTTAGACACTATCACCACGTTACCTTGCTATGTCTCAAGGATCAAGAATCGGATGGTGGGATCCTTTCTTAGAGAAGGAGAGACGTACAGAGAAAAAAAACCGATATCGTGAGAGAGAGAGTTTTTGTGCTTGATGAGATGAGGGAAGAGGGAGAGAGGAAGAAACTTCCCACTCTCCACCTCACCACTTTCCCAACAAAATTGGTGCGAAGTGGTGAGTTTGTTAATTATGGTAACAAAAAAGAAAAAAAAAATATATATATAATTATATTTAATTTAATAAATTAATTAAATTAAAAACTATTTTAATTTAATTAAATATAAATGATTTAATTAAATTAATTAATATTTGAATCATATTCAAATATATGTATTCCTCATGACCTACAGTATTTAATATGAATCCAATTCACATTAAACTTTAACCTATAGTTCTAATATGAATCTAATTCACATTAAACTTTAACCTATAGTTTTGATTCATATTATTCTCCCATAATATATATAGTTTTATAATGCATCATCATACATTATATTAAATTGTGTTATACACAATTAACTCAAATTACCTTTAATTCAATTTGAACAATTCAAATTCTTTCCAAGACTTAATGTTCTTAATTACCCTTTACGAGCTAGCAAGAGGACCTAATGGACCTATAAATCAGAAGCTCCAACGTTACGAGATTAATCAGTTAAACTCATTAACCACCATCAACATACGTTAACTACGGGTTACTCCACTATAAACCTGTAGCTGAACTCTTATCACTATAGAGTATTTATGTGTCCACAGATATCCAACATTGACGGCAAGTCAATGCTTCACGAGTGCTCGTAACCACAAATGGGTCAAATTACTGTTTTACCCTTGGGTTACATCTTATACGTTAAGTACCGCTGATCCTCTAATAAACAACCTGGTTAAGGTCCGACCAATAATCGGAAGATCCTCTCGGACTAGTGAGAGGGTGGGGCTCCTTGTTCAAATCCCGAAGTAAGTACTAAAGGGAACACTCATCTACTCCTCTAAAGTCGAGGAGGAGTGAATTCCATATTGTAAAGTTATGTTCCTAGCTCCCCACTCGGTCTCGTCCCCAAAATGGTAGGAATGTTGAGTCGGCGACTCGGGCCATTCTCACCCATACAGATCAAAGGACGAGCCCTTACGGGCATGAATCCATAACTCACTCAAGATTAAGAATGAGTTGTCTGGTCATCCTATGAAATAGCAATCTGTTAGTCAACAGCGTTACATCTAAAGATTGGCTGTTTCATGGTCTGGTTTTATATAAACTCATTGTATAGGATACCCCCACTCGCATGTCTCCACACGAACGACCTAGATCAGGTCGTCTGTAACATTTACAAAGTGGGTCGTATCCATAGTGTTATCAAGATAAGGTCTCAAGCTTTATCCATATACTATAGACCCTTTAGGTTATTCTCGGGATATTATCCAATTGTATATCGAGGGTATATCAAATATATACCCGATATATACTGTCTCGGTTACATTATAATAACCTTGGATGTTTAGTTTATTGGATTTCGACAATGCAATGTTATGAATTCAACAACAAATTGATTGAATAAAACTTTATTGAATATAAATTTGTTTTTACATAAATACAAACTACGAGTTTAGGGCAACACACCCAACAATATTGTCGACCCTGTTCCACAGCATCCGTAAGAATGTCCTTAGTATAGTCAGTGAGAATGGATGCTCTTGTTGATGCGTATGTTCGTCGCTCGTAAAACCAAAATTGCAGAAGAGCCCTATAATGTTCTAACAGTGCAGTGACCGGAAAAACTCGTGCATGCATTACAACTGCATTCATGGACTCTGCAATGTTAGTCGTCATTTTGTTGTACCTAAATCCAGGTTGATATGCACGTGGCCATTTATCGAATGTAAGGTCGTCTAAGTACTTTCGCACTTCTGGGAATCCCGCAAGCTGATTCTAATAATATCTGAAGGTAGACTTCTTGAATGCCTTAACTGCTTGGATGTATAGCCTTTGCAAGCCCTCGCTCCTAGTCTTAAACTTATCATTCAAGTTCATCTGCACGTGATGCATGCATGTGACGTGTTGAGCAGTGGGGAAGACAGAAGCTACATAGTTATTAATGGTTTGGTGCCAGTCAGACACGAAAACCAATCCATCAATTTCTCCAATACAACTCTTCACTCGCTACAAGAACCAAGTCCATGGGTTGTCTGTTTCCCTATCTACAATTCCAAGTGCAAGTGGACATATATGATTGTTACCATCAACAAAAGAGATTTTCAATATCACACCTTTATATTTTTCCTTGAGATGTGCATCGTCGATGACAAGTACGACGCAAATGCAACTCCTGAATCCCCTGATAGAGCAGCCTAGGGCCATTAATGCATATTGAAAATATTTATCATGCTCCAACTTCAATGGAAAAACCATGCCCGAGTTAACGGATTTCAACGCCTCGACATATTTACGCAAAAGAGTATACGACTTCTTTGGCGATCCCATTAATGCATATCGAATGTTAACGTAATAATTTTTCTGCATGTCATTAACAATATCCTTCGGCCTATAACGACAACTTACATCCTCGAAGTTGGACTTTATAATCTGACCGACCACACGACTTTGAGCTTGCCGGTGGTCATGTTTCATTACCTCACGTATGCAACTGTGCACCTCATAGAATGTAGAAATAAGGAATATATCCGAACCTTGAATCTTTCTTACATGCGGGCTCCATTTGCATCCATCCTCAGAGCATCCAATAGGGTACAAACTCTTTGTTGATTTCTTCACGTGATATTCAAAATTCACTCTCATTGCGAACACCGAGAGTTTGAACTGCAATTCTTCTTTTGATCGAAAAGTACTCCCTATCGCAATGTCCTTCATTGACAAACCAACTTCATCATCTGTCCTGGCCATTTCCCTTGACCAAGAAGCTTGACAAGTTGCACACCATGCATTTGTACTAACCATGTGCACTTCGGTTAAGGGTTCCGATGATGGAGCAGCTACATCCCCTAGTTCTACTTCCTCCCCGTTGTGAAAATCAGCATCGTCCTCGAATCAGTATCGTGGTTCTCATCATCCTCGGCCTCATACTCCACGTCATTCTCATCATTATAGTCCCATTGACTGCAATGGTTTGTTTCATCGTCACCCAAGTTACATGAGACTACATTGTCCGTCAGTGACATTATTGATGAGACAAAACGTGATGGGACTGGAATAAAAAGGAAGTGATGACACATAATAGGGAATGGTCTGCCGTAACTGGTGGGGAAATGAATGGAATGCTTGTGTTCCTGGAAGTAAAATTTGAAAATTAAAAATTAAGGGAAACAAGATCTCAACCCCTTAATCTCTCCTCAATCTCCTTAATTTTAGTGTATTCATATTCAAATTTGAAATTTAAACCTAATTTGTTTAAGATTTGTTTCTCTTCCTTAATTATTTGAACTAATCATTTGACGTAGCAAATAAATCTCTCATTTAATCTCCTAATTTTAATTATATTTGGCTTTCAAATTTAAAATTTAATTCACTTTGTTTCATCCCTAATAAATAATGTGAAAGTATCAAATTTAAAATTTAATTAAAAAATTATTGAGTGTATCTTTCCCCTTATCATTACATGAAAGAAAAAAAGAGATGGAAGATTTGAAATATGTGGGTGTTTTTTCTTTTTTGTAAAATTTAAGCAAAAAAAAGAGAAGAAGGTGAAAATTATGTATCAGCGAAAAAAGAGAGAAGAAAGGTGGAAGATTATATTAACTAAACTAGAAAAAGGATAGGAATGGAGAGGGTGGAGAGAAAAAATAAGAGGATAAAAAGAGGAGAGATGAGAGAGAGGAAGAGAAAATAAATTGTTTTCAAATAACAGAGCAGGACATAGATGGTTTATTTGGCAACAATAAAAGCCTACAAAACATGGGTTTTGGGTTTTTGAAGGGATGTTTAAAAGACAAATACTAAAAAGTCCCTGTTCAGCCCAAAATACCAAAAACTTTGCCCTTGCAGTCCTAGACTCCGTAATACCGCCATTGGACCACCACCTTTGGCTCTCACGTTCGCCTCACCAAAAGCTGTAGCTTTCTCCTCGCAGGCGCCAGCGGCAGTCTCACTCTGCCCCGTCGAACTTCGTTTTAAAGATATGGTCAGTGGATCCCTTTACAAACGTCTTACTCCATTGTTTCGTTTGTCCTTTGGTGTTCTCCGTTGAGATGTTGAATGTCGATGTTTCGGTTTCCCTTTGGATTTGAATTTTGTTTTTGTGTTTGTTTTCCTTAAATCATTGTAGACTAATGTATTTGTGTTAGGTTATTTCAGCTTGTGACGTGTTCATGCGTTTCTATCTTATTTGTTGAGAATTAATTGCAATTTTAATGCAACATCATGTGTTGGTCGATGGGAAGGTGAGGACAGACAAGACATATCCTGCTGGTAGTTTCATGGGTATGCTTATCTTTAACTTTGTAATTATACTGTTCAGGTTTCAATATTTTCAGTGTTGTTGCCGGCTGGGGGAAGGATGAGCATTGAACGTTCCACTATGCACAGTTAGGTCTGAATTAATCTTT